ATCAAAGTATTTGAATTTAAATAAGAATAGTTGAAACTAATTCAACTTCTAAATGAACATAAATATTAGGTTTATACTTTAAATTTTATGAAGAAATCGACTCAATTTATCTCTGGGAGTGGTGATAAATAGATAATAATATGGTGTATGGATTAACATAATTAATGGATCTGCTAATACAAATTGAATGAACATTAAATTTCAATTAATTGTTTAATTTTGAATAATAATGAAGATCTTATCATATCAGGAAGTAGGGATAAAACAATTAAATTTTGGAAAAAACAGAATCAATGGATATGCTCATAAACTATTACAGATCACACTAATCATGTAACAGGATTAAGTTTGAATGAGAAATAGGATAAATTGATATCTTGTGGATAAGATATGTTTATATTAATAATAGAAGAGTCATAATAGGATTAAAAATGGAATGTTATATAAAAGATAACAGTTGAATAGTATGGTTTCAGATTGTGCTTCATCAATGATAGTGTATTCACATTTCAACCAAGACTTAAAGAGTATATGCATGTTTATGAGATCAATAGTACTAATAAATAGTATTCAAAGACAAATCAAATTGATGTGAAAAGCGATTCTAATTGCTGTAGCTATTATTTTCCTTAATAATATATCAAATCTAAATGTTTACTTGTGAATAAGAATGGAAAAAATGTTAATTTAATAAGGAAAAATCGAAATGGTCATTTTATCACATAATAGTCTATTCAATTTGGGCATCATTAAATATATGGATCGATGAGTGAAAATGGACAGTATTTGATGACTTGGGATGAAAAGTCGAATGAAATTCAAATCAGGAAATATTAGTAATTATGAATAACAATGAATCAATCATTATTCAAATTATTAGAAATATCATTAAACCATCTATATAATAAATTTAATATTGTTTTAATTCTATAAAGATTTAATCTAACTTTTAGAAGAAGATTGATTATAAAAATATTCGAATCTTTAAAGTGGTAGTTATTAAATATTTTAAAGCTAAACTATATAGATATTCTTTTGAGCTCACCTGCGTAGGATCTGTTTCCACAATTTTCACTAAATTATCATGTAAAATTCTAAAGCTTTTCTTAATACTTAAACAAGTATTTTGCTTCATATTTGTTCCTAAGGCTTAACATAGCTCCTAATTTTCATTTCTATATGTTGTTTGATTTGTTAAAATTTAAAGAAATATAAATTGAAATCTATTTTCTTTTTGTAATTTGAAGCTAATTTAGAACTCAACCAAAAATTTTGATGGCAACTCTAAATACTATTCACTAAAAACAAATCAATTTATGTAACTAATTCAATACTAAGCAAAGAATAAAATTGCACATAGTAAAATTGGTTCTTTTTGTTTTCATAAGCAATTAACGTAATATTTCATAATAGAAAGCTCTATTTAACGTTCTCAGTTCTTGAAAGCATTCTAGCAAGAACTCTTTTGGAATTACGAAGGAAAACAGATGGCAGTGAGATTGTTAATCTTTCTTGCAATAATCCAAAACTATGAGGCTCTTGTTATATTTCGAGATAGCTGTTATTCTTCATTTCAAATTCCTTTCCTGCATGCTCATTAAACCAAGAAAATAATGGCATAAAAGAAAAATCTATTGAAGCAAATAATCAACAAACTTATATAATATAATAATAATTTATGGAAAGATATCTCTTTTGTTTTGTTTCAAAGAGACTGTCGATCTCATAGGCATCAGAGAAATTCTCAAATCCAAAGCAGGAGTGATGAAATGAGCAAATTTGAAAGAATTATCGTCTTATTCAATAGGAATTAATTTTGCAGGATTTTCCAAAATAATTGAAAATTATTATTTTGAACAATTTTTAGTTATTGAACATTGTAAATTTTACTTATCACAACAGCATTCACCTGCATTTTCTTACAAACACCTTCTATTTAAAGGAACTTAATTCTTTAATCCAGCTAAAGTTGAGTGGATTTGGTTGTATGATTGAATCCCAATAAGATTGTGTAATACATTTGATATAATAGTTAAAGCAAATCTGTTCAACTTCGAACTGCGGGTTTGTCCCTAGTGGTAAGTCTAATTTCTATTAAACTCCTTAGAATGACAATCTTATTGGGGGGCACACTTTATAATTTAAGATAGGTTATGATCTCAGCAAATTTTTAAAAAGATAATTGATAAACTAATTATCCTAATTTGACCAAAGCCTCTGTTAGACATATTTTAGGAGATACATAGGGAGTCAAGAAGGAGCCTTTTGTGAGCATGAATGAATTGAAAATTAAACTATTAGCTTTAAAAAACTTCGATACAGCATGTCTCCTATCACTAAATTATCAGGACTCTAAATCATCTAGAAGGGAAATTATGATAATATTCTTCTCCAATATATCCAGCCAAACTCACAAATTCAATCCCTCCAAAAGTTTATATCCATCATGAAAATTCAATATAAAATAGTAATTTACAATTAATCGCCGCCTAATTTAGTTTAATAATCTGCAATGGGTTGTAAAATTAATTTAAGAATGCAAATGATATAAATTTTTTTATTTTTCTCTGAATATTTTTTTAAACAGAATAACGTCAATAATAATAATTTTATGTTTTATAAAGCTTTGTATTAAATTAACTTGCATCTTCAGAATCAACCTTCAAAGAATCCTTGATATTTATAATAGCATGGTAGTTAAAAATATTCTTTATTCTTCAATTAATGGGAAAATATAATAGCTGTTTTATTTTGTTTTTTACTGCATATAAAATTGTATTTTAATAGAACTCAGATGTTTAAATGATAAAGAAGGAAATTATGATGTATAAAAAATAATAAAAGATGAATTCATCAGTTAATCAAAATTTAGAGGGCCAAACAAATATGTGCCAAATACACAATAACGAAATAATTGTTGTAATCCTTGACTCTTCAATAATTGGAGTTGTTACAAAATTATTATGAGCTTGATGCACCCTTATTTGAATTAATTATTGATTATAATGATTTTAATTCCTTTTAAAAGTGATAACTTT